AAAAAAAAAAAAAAAATAAGAAAATTAGCCAGTTGTGGTGGTGCACGTCTGCAGTCCCAGCTACTCAAGAGGCAAGAGTTATTTCTGACATATAACTAGTTATGTCAGGCCATGTCCATAGACCTCAGGGAGTGTCCATTCACTCTTGCACTGTTTTTTTTTGAGACAGAGTTTCACTCTTGTTACCCAGGCTGGAGTGCAATGGCGCGATCTTGGCTCACCGCAACCTCCGCCTCCTGGGTTCAGTCAATTCTCCTGCCTCAGCCTCCTGAGTAGCTGGGATTACAGGCACGTGCCACCGTGCCCAGCTAATGTTTTGTATTTTTAGTAGAGATGGGGTTTCACCATGTTGACCAGGATGGTCTTGATCTGTTGACCAGGATGGTCTCGATCTCTTGACCTCGTGATCCACTCCCCTCGGCCTCCCAAAGTGCTGGGATTACAGGCTTGAGCCACCGTGCCCGGCTCTTGCACTGTTAAATAAAAGTTTGCAAGAACTTTTAAGCCTTAAGGAAGCCTTAAGGAAGCATGGGTCTCAAATTGTCATGTGTATCAGAATCATAGCAGAGACAGTTAATGAGATTCCTGTGTTCCATATTCTGGAAAGAGCAAATAGTGTTTATTTTAGAAATTTTTCATAGATACATAATCTCATATACACTTTCCAAACATATCTCTGAGAGAGGCGCCATTTTACAGATGAGGAACTTGTATGAGATTACTTATGTAATAAGTGAAAGAGCCAGTAAGTCTGGCTTGCCTTACTCAGTATCTCCCAAATTCTAAACCACAGCACCGCACTAGTCTTCATTACCTGAAGTGTGCTAATTCCTGATATCCAGGGTGAAACCAAGCAAGTTACATGTTAAATTCTCTTTCATATTTTGATTTGTCAACAACTGTGAAATATAAAATATAGTTATAGTCCTATTGACTACATCTTGGAGGTTGTCCTAAAAATGATTTATATAATTTTATTTTCTCCTTTGTCTTCTAAAAAGATAAGAAATTTACTTCATTAGTAGTGACTTTCATAATGAAAATAGAATTTACAACAAGGAGAGACCTGTGTGCGTTTGCATTTTCCATATCTAGTAAATTATCTTTTCTCCAGGATCATTACTAGGCATTTTTATGTTTCCTCAGTGTATATATTCTTTCTCTTTATCTTGCTTATTCTGTTTTACAATTACTGTTTCAAACAGCAAGTTTTTTTTTCCTCTTTACTAAAAAGTGTGAGCTTGGAGTCAAACAGCAAGTTTTATATCGTGGTTTCTTCTTCTTTAACTTTGTAATGTGGAAAGCTTTAAATATCTACAAAAATTGAAAGATGTCTTTTTTTTTTTTTGAGACAGAGTCTCACTCTGTTGCACAGGCTGGAGTGCAATGGCACAATCTCGGCTCACTGCAACCTCCACCTCCCGGGTTTGAGCAATTCTCCTGCCTCAGCTTCCTGAGTAGCTGGGACTACAGGTGCACGCCATCATACCCGGCTAGTTTTTGTACTTTTAGGAGACACAAGTTTCACCAGGTTGGTCAGGCTGGTCTCTCCTGACCTCAGGTGATCTGCTAGTCTCGGCCTCCCAGAGTGTTGGGATTACAGGCATGAACCACCACGCCCAGCCTGAAAGATGTTTAATAGAATAATGAACCTCCATGTATGCATTACCCAGCTTTGATTATCCACTCATGCAATTATTGTGAGATCCATCTCTCTGCTTCTTTGCTGCCTGTTTATTCACATCATTTCATCTAAAAATTGCGGAGTATATCTATAAAAATAAGCGCTTTATTAGAAGAAGAAAAAATAAGTGCTTTTAAAGCAAAGGGTTTTTGAGCAGTTCAGTATGTTGATTTTTCTTTAAATGCTTTGTAAAAGTCATTATTTGCTCAAAGTCTTCACGTGTTCTTGCACTGTAATTAATTGTGTAGTGCTTCACAACTTTTCCAGCAGGGGGCACTTGGAGGTTGGAGGGATTTAGATATTCAAAGGAAAGAAAGCCCTTGAGCTTTTATCATAATCCAGAGTAATCCATCTCTTCCCATGCCTTTTGAAAATCTCTTTGGTGAATCTAGATGCAAAGCAAAAGATGGGACAAGCCTGGAAGTCTTGGTTGATCTACGTGGTTTTTCGTAGGACCAAACTTCAGATGCAGACTACGGCTCTGGAGTTTAGGCAACGGAGTATCCTATGGTGAGTCTTCTCAGCTGTCCTACAGATTAGCAACCATCATTTTACCTCATCAGCTTTATGGTGCTGGAAAGCAGCATAAAAACCCACCTTAAAACAATGGTTTGTTTTTGTTTTTGTTTTTGAGATAGGGTCTTTCCCTGTCACCCAGGCTGGAGTGTAGTGGCACAATCGTAGCTCACTGCAACTTCCACCTCCCAAGCTCAAACAGTCCTTCTGCCTCAGCCTTCCGAGTAGCTGGGACTACAGGCATGCACCACTATGCCCAGCTAATTTCTTTTTTTCATTTGTTTTGTAGAGGCGGGGTTTTGCCATGTTTCCCAGGCTGCTCTTGAATTTGTGGGCTCAAGCGATCTGCCCACCTCAGCCTCCCAAAGTGCTAGGATCATAGGCATGAGCCACCATGCCCTGCTCCCACCTTGAAACAATGTTTTGAACATAGGTGATGCCCAATAAAGATTTAATGATAACTTGTTCAACTATAAGATCAGATTTTTACATAATCATAATTAACACTAATTGAGTACTATGTTCTAAACCCTATATTAAGCTTGTGTGTGCATGTGTTAATTTCATAAAGTATCTTCTTTAACCCTCACTGTAAATTATAAGCACCATGATTGTACTTATAATTTAAGATTAAGATGTACAATAATGCTCAGAGAGGTTGAGTAACCTGCCTAGCACATACAGGTTGTAATTGGCAAAACTAGGCTCACTCACCCATGCCCTTTACTGCTGTTCTGCATTGCAGCCCATCAGCATTGTAGACATACTGAGGAACATGAGTTAGTCCACGTTTATAACCAGATGTGTAACAGTGAGCTGCATTATAATGGGACAGATTGCACTGTATGTTGTCTGTAGTGGTCCACTGGTGTCCTGAATGGTAGGATATTAAGAGCCCACTTCCTACCTGAAAGAGTTGGGTATTGAACAAAGTATGCATAATAGCAGGGGCTTTGCAGCTGTGCTGATTTGGGTTTGAATCCCTCTTCCATCCTATATTATTTGGTCATTTCATCTCTTCAACTCTTATTTTCCTCATCTGTGAAATAGTTACGCCATAGTTGTAGTTTTGTCATCAGGAAGAAATAAAGGAATATCTGTAAAGTACTTAACAGTGTCCAGAACAGCAGTCAATATAAAGAAGTTATTTAAGTAGAAATAAAATAGGCAGAGTACAGTAGCTTAAACCTGTAATCCCAAAACTTTGGGGACCTAAGGTGGGAGGATTGCTTGAGGCCAGGAGTTTGAGACTAGCCTGGGCAACAAAGCCAAGACCCCGTCTCTACACACAAAAATTTTTTTAAAATAAATAATTAGGCCAGGTGCAGTGGCTCACACCTGTAATCCCAGCCTTTTGGGAGTCCAAGGCGGGTGGATCACAAGGTCAGGAGTTCAAGACCAGGCTGGCCTAGATGGTGAAACCCCATCTCTATTAAACATACAAAAAATTAGCTGGGTGTGGTGGCGGGCGCCTGTAATCCCAGATACTTAGGAGGCTGAGGCAGAGAATTACTTGAACCTGGGAGGTGGAGGTTGCAGTCAGCAGAGATCGTGCTGCTGCTCTCCAGCCTGGGTGACAGAGCAAGACTCTGTCTCAAAAAAAATAAAAATAAAAAAATTAATTAAAATTGTTACTTAAAATCTATTTAGCAAATATCTCAAAATGCCTAATTAGTATGCAATTTTACTTGAGTCTGAGTGATATTTTTATATAAATAATTCATTTTCTCAACATACATTTATTTGAGACAAAGTCTCAAATAAATACTCTGTCGCCCAGGCTAGAGTACCGTGGTGTAATCTTTGCTGACTACAACCTCCACTTCCTGGGTTCAAGTGATTCTCCTGCCTCAGCCTCCCGAGTGAATGGGATTACAGGTGCACACCACCATGCCTAGCTAATTTTTTGTATTTTTAGTAAAGACGGGGTTTTACCATGTTGGCCAGGCTGGTCTTGAACTCCTGACCTCAGGTGATCTACCCACCTCGACCTCCCAAAGTGCTGGGATTACAGGCATGAGCCACAGTACCCAGCCTATTTATTGACAGCTTAAAATGTTCCTGGTACTAGGCTAGGTGCAGTGCCTGAAACTTTATCTTGGTGAAACTCCATCTCTACTAAAAAAATAGAAAAGTTAGCCAGGTGTGGTGGTGCACACCTGTAATCCCAGCTACTCGGGAGGCTGAGGCATGAGAACTGCTTGAGCCAGGGAGGCAGATGTTGCAGTGAGCTGAGATTGTGCCACTGAAGTGCAGCCTGGGCAACAGAGTGAGACTGTCTCAAAAAAAAAAAAAATGGCTTCCACAGGAGGCCTTCACACTGCCACTTGTGCTGCTGCCATGTCTCTAGTGATCCCTGAAAAATTCCAGCATATTTTGCAAGTATTCAACACCAGTATCAATGGGCCTTTGCCATCACTGCCATTAAGGGTGTGGTTGACAATATACTCATGTGGTGTTTAGGAAAGCAGACATTGACCTCATCAAGAGGGCAGGAGAACTCACTGAGGATGAGATGGAATGTGTGATCACCATTATGCAGAATTCATGCCAGTACAAGATCCTAGACTGGTTCTTGAACAGACAGAAGGGTATAAAGGGTGGAAAATATAGCCAGGTCCTGGCCAATGGTCTGGACAACAAACTCCATGCAGACCTGCAGTGACTGAAGAAGATTTGGGCCCATAGAGGGCTGTGCCACTTCTGGGGCTTTTGTGTTCAAGACCACTGGCCACTGCAGCGTACTATGGGTGTGTCCAAGAAGAAATAAGTCTGTAGGCCTTGTCTGTTAATAAATAGTTTATATACCTAAAAAAATTAATGAACAAAACATTCCTGGTACTGTATTGGTGCTGGGACTATATTCAGGAAATGTGTGATTCCCTAAATGCATAAGAAGATAAATGATTCTACTGCATGGGAGTGATGTTAAAAAAAAAAAAAAAAAAAAAGAAGAAGATAAGTGATAATGTAAGATAGCTTGAGGTTTTGCAGTGAGTGCTGCAGGTGAGCATGGTCTAATAGAAGTCTTTCTGGGTTAGAGTGACCAGGCAAAGGAGTGTTTCTCTAAAGCACAAGTTGGAAACTCTTATTTCCCCATGACTATTTTCCTAGAACAAATTTGAAAATTAGTAGAAAGGAACCAAGACTGAAATGAAAGTCTGGCCAGGAAGCTGAAAAGGAAAAGGATACAGCAGGACTAGAAATCTAAAAGCCACTTTATTACAGATTAGTTTGTGAAATCTCCTGATTTTCAAATGTTGGTAATAACTCTTTGTTTGTTTGTTTTTCTGAGATGGAGTCTTACTCTGTCGCCCAGGCTGGAGTGCAGTGGTGTGATCTCAGCTCACTGCAACCTTGACAGGTTTAAGCGATTCTTTCACCTTAGCCTAAGTAGCTGGGACTACATGGTGCACACTCTGCCATGCCTGGATAATTTTGTGTGTGCGCGTGCGCATGCGCGTGTGTGTGTGTGTGTGTGTGTGTGTGTGTGTGTGTGTGTGTGTGTGTGTGTTTTAGTAGATACGGGGTTTTACCATGTTGCCCAGGCTGGTTTCAAACTCCTGAGCTCAGCCAGTTGCCCACCTTGGCCTCCCAAAGTGCAGTGATTACAGGCGTGAGCCACCGCACCTGGCCCATAACATATTTTTTTCTATGTCTGTTTTTGTTGTTGTTGTTGCTTTTCCCTGTTTTCCCTGGCCACGTCTGATAAGACCATAATGTATTTTTTTTTTAACCAGACTGTGTAGGCCGAACAGCATGTCTGTGGTGTCTAAAGCCAGATCTGACCTTAGGAACCATAAGCTTCCAACCATTAATTGGCAGCTCTAGGACTTTTTCGCAATTGTTTTCTTTTTTCCCCCAGCAGTGAATCCACAGATGACACTATAAGGGAGAGGACTAGAGCTGAGGGTCTGAGGCCCCACACTAACTGCTCCTCTTTTCTGAGTGACTTTCTTCTGATGGGTTCCATCTTTGATTTGCTCTTTGACAGGGTGTGGTGGAGCGTGTGGAGGCAGCGACTAGGACAGGTCCGTGTGAGCCGTGCCCTCCATGCCTCTGCTGTGAAGCACAGGTCCCTGAGCCTCCAGCTGCAGGTGAGTCCCGCAGGTGTGGGTTTTGGTGTTCTCTGTCCATGTTGCCACGCCTCTCACCCACAGAGGGCAGTGCTGGGCCTTCCCTGCAGCTCAGGGCCTGAGAGGCTGTGGGGGCAGAGGTAATCTGAAAGGCTGGGCTCTTCCAGAGGGAAGCTGCTGTTAGAAATAAAATAAAGGCTTGTCCTAGATGAACCTAGATTAGCAGTGACTTCCAGAGTGCCTCTATGGAACTGGAGAGGGATTTATGAATCAGTTATAAACATGTTTAGAGAAACAGCAGTATACTCTGATTTCCTCATTGCTGTTTCCCTACGGCAAATCAGAAAATAATTGAGGCAGAAAAGAAACTAAGACTGAAAAGAAAACTTGGCTTCTTTTTCCTTATAGTTTCGATCACCTTAGAATATTCTTTTAGGCAAGCCACTGGCTTTTTTTGTCAATCATCAAGGACTAAAGCCCATACTGAAATTTTCTTGTCCTTTGATATATTCTCTGAATTCTTGTCATGCTTTTGTGTCTGCTGGGTACTTACAGAGCTGCCAAGTCAGTTAGGAAATAGAACAGGGAAGAGGAAAAAAAAATTAGTGCCTGTTTCCAAATGTAGGAATAGTATCTTCTTATTCTAACAACAAATTGCATAGTCCATGTAAATATGTGTAGATCACTTGCAAATAGCGTATACAGACATCAAGATCAGGGATCTGGCTCACAGGCCAAATTTGGCCTGCTTTCTGTTTTTGTAAATAAAGTTTTACTGGGTTGCTGCTACAACCATTCATTTATGTATAGTCTGTGGCTGCTTTCAGATTACAAGGGCAGAGTAAAGTAGTTGCAACAGGGACCTTATGGCCTACAAAGACTAAACTATTTGTTTTCTGACCCTTTAGAAAAAGTTTGCTGACCTCTGAACTTGTAAGTTCTTCTGAACAATAGCAAAGAAATAAGAGACACAGTTCTTGCCAATAATAATAAAAGTACCAATAGCAGCAGCAACAGAAGTAGCTTGTATTCAGCCTGGGTGACAGGGGGACCCTGTCTCAAAAAAAAAAAGAAGAAGTAGCTTTTATTGTGGTCTTACTTGTGGTCTTAGGTGCTGGACTAAGTGCTTTTTTAAAAATTCCATATTGGCTGGGTGCGTTGGCTTATGCCTGTAATCCCAGCACTTTGTGAGGCCAAGGCAGGCAGATCATGAGGTCAGGAGTTCGAGACTAGCCTGACCAACATGGTGAAATCCCATCTGTACTAAAAATGCAAAAATTAGCCAGCATGGTGGTGCAGGCCTGAAGTCCCAGCTACTTGGGAGGCTGAGGCAGAAGAATTGCTTGAACCCGGGAGGCAGAGGTTGCAGTGAGCCGAGATTGCACCACTGCACTCCAGCCTGGGCGACGAAGTGAGACTGTCTCAAAAAAAAAAGAAAGGAAAAAAAGAATCTCATATTACTGTTAAGGAAACCAGGAAGGTTAAATAACTTGAACCAGGGTCATAGGTATAATGACGCTTAGAGCCAGGTTTTAACCTAAGCAGCTAGAAAACTGCATCATCATCTTAATCACCGTGCAGTATTGTGTTGAATAGACTTGTAACCTCAGGAGGGAGATGGAACTGATAAATGGGAAAATGCTATAAACTCAGGGAGACTGACTAAACTTAGAGAGTGACTGTGAATATAGGGAAATTAAACATAACGAGACTGATTTTCTGTCATTGATGGACAGCTGTGCTAGTGTTCTTCCCTTTCTAAAAGCCACTTGGAGAGGCTCTAAAATTATTCTACTGATGCTACTATTTAGAATTCCTTTTTTTATTTTGTTTGCTGTTTTTTGTGGTTGTTGTTAGTTCTTGTCTTTTATTAACTCATACAATTACTTGTCTTCTGGTTTGTTGAAGCAGTAAGTCAGACAACATTTGCCACAATACTGTCTGTCAAAGTGGCTTGCCATAAACACTCCAGCACCACATTCGTCAGAAGGGCACTCTCGACAAAGGTGACTAATTTTACCATTCTTATCCACCTTATAGTATTTCAGGACAGCCAGCTTAACCTTCTTTCTCTTGTGGTTATTCTTCTTGGGAGTGGTATAAGACTTCTTCCTTTTCTTAGCAGCACCATGAAGTCTCAACACAAGATGAAGAGTAGACCCCTTTTGAACATTGTAGTCAGACAAAGTACGTCCATCTTCCTGCTGCTTGCTAGCAAAGATCAGCCTTTGCTGATCAGGAGGAATTCCTTCCTCATCCTGGATTGTGGCCTTTACATTTTCTATCTTATCCGAGGGTTTGACCTTGAGGGTGATAGTCTTCCCCCTAAGGGTTTTCACAAAAATCTGCATTTTGGTGGCAGCTTCACCGCAGATGGCGAATAGAAAAGGAAGAACGCCGTGCAGGCCCACAGGGTTTCCAGCACCCCCGCCAAAGGACCTGTTTTTTTGTTTTGAGACAGTCTAGCTCTGTCGCCTAGGCTAGAGTGCAGTGGTGCAATCTCAGTTCACTGCAGCCTCTGTCTCCCAGGATGCAGTGATTCTCCTGCCTTGAACTCCCAAGTAATTGGGATTACAGGCACCTACCACCGCCCCCTGCTAATTTTGTATTTCTGGTAGAAATGGGGTTTCACCATGTTGGCCAGGTTGGTCTCGAACTCCTGACCTCAAGTGATTCACCTGCCCCCTCCAACCTCCCAAAGTGGTGGGATTACAGGTGTTAGCCATTGTGCCTGGCCCCAAAATTTTCTTTTTACAGTTATCTTCAAAGCATACAACAACATATTTGATTAATTTTTTTTAAGAGATGAGTTCTCACCATATTGCCGAGGCTGGCCTCCTGTACTCAAGTGATCTTTCCCTCAGTCTCCAAGTAGCTAGTACAACTGGCATTTGCCACCATGCCTGGCTCTGATTAAAAATTTTTTATGATAGGAGGCTTTTATGGTTTGAGGTTGGATTTAGCATGTTTAAACAGCTAAAAGTCATTCAGAGTCAAATCCAGTGAAAGCTGTGAGTAATTAGGGTAATGTTGATACCAGTGAAAAACTATATGGGGCTCTAAGTATGACCTGGATTTCATTGTGTGGATTATAAGTAATAATGCCACACCTGTAACCCTAGCACTTTGGGTGGCCGAGGTAGGCAGATTGCTTGAACCCAGGAGTTTGAGACCAGCCTGTGTAACATGGCAAAACCCTATCTCTACCAAAAAAAAATACAGAAAATTAGCTGGGCATGGTGATGAGTTCCTGTAGTCCTAGCTGCTCTGGAGGCGGAGGTGGGATAATCCCCTAAGTCTGGGAAGTTGAGGCTACAGTGAGCTATGATTGTGCTTCTGTACTCCAGCATGGGCAACACAGCAAGACCTTGTCTCAGAATGATGATGATGATGATGCTGTGTTCAGTAAGTACCATGCCAAGAATTACACTCTCTTAGTCTACACGGCATCCCTATGCACTAAGCGGATAAGACATCACAAAATATGTAAAATTTTAGTTTTAATTTAAATTTTTAAATTAAATTTGGTATTTCAAACATAGAAACACATAAAACACTTACAAAAATATTAGCAGATAGCCAAGTACTCACCACCCTCACCCAGATTTAAAAGTATAGTATTTTCTTTTTTTTTTGAGACGGAGTTTCACTCATGTTACCCAGGCTGGAGTGCAATGGCGCGATCTTGGCTCACCGCAACCTCCGCCTCCTGGGTTCAGGCAATTCTCCTGCCTCAGCCTCCTGAGTAGCTGGGATTACAGGCACGCACCACCATGCCCAGCTAATGTTTTTGTATTTTTAGTAGAGACGAGGTTTCACCATGTTGACCAGGATGGTCTTGATCTCTTGACCTCGTGATCCACCCGCCTCGACCTCCCAAAGTGCTGGGATTACAGGCTTGAGCCACCGCGCCCGGCCAAGTATAGTATTTTTTATACTTGCTCTAGAATTTTTTTTAAGTTATTTTTTAGGATAAGGATCTCACTCTGCTGCCCAGTCTGGAGTGCAGTGGTACCATCATGGCTCACTGTAGTCCTGACCTCACAGGTGTAAGTGATCCTCCCACCTCAGCCTCCCAAGTAGATGGGAACACAGGTGTGTGCAGCCATGCCCAGCTAGCACAGCTGGGTGTGTGTGTGTGTGTGTGCGCGCGCACGTGCATGTGTCTATGAATATGGAGTCTGGGTCTCATCATGTTGCCCAGGCCCATTCTGGTCTTAAACTCCTGAGCTCAAGTGATCCGCCCACCTCAGCCTCCCAAAGTGCTGGGATTATAGGCATGATGCCACCGTGCCTGGCCCAGAATTTTTTTTTTGGAGACAGAGTCTCGCTCTATCGCCAGGCTGGAGTGCAGTGGCGCAATCTCAGCTCACTGCAACATCTGCCTCCTGAGTTCAAGCGATTTTCCTGCCTCAGCCTCCCAGGTAGCTAGGACTACAGATGCACAACAACATGCCCGGCTAATTTTTGTATATTTTTTATTAGAGATGGGGTTTCACCATGTTGTCCAGGATGGTCTCGATCTCTTGACCTCATAATCTACCCTCAGCCTCCGAAAGTGCTGGAATTATAGGTGTGAGCCACCGTGCCCAGTCCCCAGAATGTTTTAAAGTAACAAAATTTAATGGGCACTGCCAAAGCTCTACCCTCCGTCTCTCCCTCCCTCCCTCTCTCCCTTCTTCTGCTTCCCCTTCTTAAAGATAGCTACTCTTTTGATTCTGGTGTGATTGTTCTCCTTTATTCTTTTTTTGTTATAAAAATATGTGCACATGTAGTCTCACCTACGAGGGAAGCTGAGGCAGGAAGATCATTTGAGGTCAAGAGTTTGGCCTCTTTTGAGGCCAGCCTGGGCAATGTAATGAGATCCCATCACTGAAAAAGAGGTGGGGGTGCCACGGTGGCTTACACCCGACTACCACCACGTTTCGGGGACCAGGGTAAAAGGATCATTTAAGCCTAGGAGCTCAAGACCAGACTAGGCAACATAGTGAGACCCCATCTCTCCAAAAGAAAAAAGAAATAGCATGGTGGTACATGCCTGTGGTCCCAGCTACTTGGGAGGCTTAGGTTGGAGGATCACTTGAATCTGGGAACTTAAGGCTGCAGGGAGCAATTGATCATGCCACTGCATTCCAGCTTGGGCAGTAGAACAAGACCCTGTCTCAAAAATTAATTAATTAATAAGTGAATGCTATGGCTTTGTGTAGTTAGGACATTTATGAATGGTGTCATGTACTTTGCAACTTGTTTTTTTAGTGAAACAGTATATTTTTGAGGTTTAGCCATGTGATTTATTTCTTCTTTTTTTTTTTTTTTA